AGTAAGTTCTATACCCGCGTGGGGCTTGAACTCACGACCCCGAGATCAGGAGACGCATGCTCCACTGACTGAGCCAGCCAGGTGTCCCAGGGCTCAGAGTTTTGGGAAAGGGAGGCATAGTGAATTGGGAAGATGAGAAATTCTCAGTCTTTTTGAAATCTTTAGTGGACTCAGCATGTAAGTATTTTCAAAGGAAACTAGGACTCTGCAGTATGCAAGTGATTTGTCAAGGATTTGGTGGTAAGAAGTATTCATAGGCCATTTTCAGATATAGATGATCGATTCTAAAATGGATGAAGTTACTGGATTTTACCTAGGGGAAATTCCATAGTTATCTACAGAGTCTAGAATTACCGTTAGGTGCCACCTTGTCCAGTCATGAGCAGAGACGTGTGTACTTTGGTGACGGTGCCCCCAAATCTGTCTTGATTCATATTCTATACTACCCTTCATGCTTTTCCTTTTCCCTAAAATATAAATTGTTTCAGAAAGTGTAGCCAGGGGGGCGCCTGGCTGGCTCAATTGGTAGAGCATGTGACTCTTGATCTCGGGTTGTGATTCTGAGTCCCGTGTTGGGCGTAGAGCTTACTTTTGCTGCTGAAAAAATCAAAAGGCAGAGAGGAGTGGTGGGGAAACAGGAAAGGAATTATTGCAGTGAGGCCAACACCAGGAAGGCAATGGACTGGCCTCTCAAGGACTGTGTCCAAAGCACTGAAATACTTGCAGGTTTATATAAGGAAAACGCGGGACAAAGAACAGGTGCATGAGGGATGCCTGGGTGGCTCAGTCAGTTAAGCGTCCGCCTTCGGCTCAGGTCATGAATCCCAGGGTCCTGGGATCCATCCTGGTGTTGGGCTCCCTGCTCAGCGGGAAGTCTGCTTTTTCCCTCTGCCTGCCGCTCCCCCTGCTTGTGTTCTCTCTCTGACAAATAAATCTTTAAAAAAAAAAAAAGGTCAGGTGCCACAGGTGGGCAGTGAAGGTCACGTGGATCCTTGTCTTGGGGTCTGTCACGCAGGGTGTTGCTGGCTCGGGGCAGTCCTTACTGCTTGCTGGGGTAGTTTGTTCCCATCAGGGATGCCTTACCTGCAGGGTCTTTGGCCAGAGGTAAGAGATAAGCTGGAAAGAAGAACTTAATCCATTTAGAAAGCCTGAGATCTAAAAGGAGGTGGTTGAAGCCCTCTTTGAAAAAGATTTTTATTGGGCGCCTGGGTGGCTCAGATGGTTAAGCGTCTGCCTTCGGCTCAGGTCATGATCCTGGAGTCCTGCGATCGAGTCCCGCATCGGGCCCCTGCTCCTTGGGAACCTGCTTCTCCCTCTGCCTCTGTCTCTCTCTCTCATGAATAAATAAATAAAATCTTTAAAAAAAAAAAAAAAGATTTTTATTTTTTAATTTTTTTTACAGATTTTACTTATTTATTTGACAGAGAGACACAGCGAGAGAGGGAACACAAGCAGGGGGAGTGGGAGAGGGAGAAGCAGGCTTCCCAAGGAGCAGGGAGACTGATGCGGGGCTCGATCCCAGGACCCTGGGACCATGACCTGAGCTGAAGGCAGACGCTTAATGACTGAGCCATCCAGGTGCCCCTGAAAAAATTTTTATGTGTGAATATGAGGCAGGCAGGACAGGGACCCAGGGGAGGGTCCCACAGGACCAGCCAAGAGCATCCTTGGCTTCACCCAGGATAGAACTCCAACGTGAGCCAGAAAAGGGAAAACGGACTTTGTCCAGTGGCGTGAGTGACAGAGAATAGATGGAGTGTCTGGGAGACTCGGGAACCAAGAGAAGAATAAGTGTTATCATTGCTTGGGGTTAGGAGTTTATATTAGAAAAGGGTCTAGGGAATGTATTCCTTCAGGAATTTAAGGTAAGGTCTGATCACAGGTGAGTGTCAGGTGAACAGTGGGTATTACTCCATAAATTACCAAAGGTAGGGGGGTCTTGATGCCAGTCAAGCCAACTTTTGTTTGAAGCGAATGTTCTGGAACATATTTGGGATCTGGCTCTTCTGAGGTGTTATCAGGTGCTTGGGGTCTTGGACGAAACTCAGACCATCAATAACTTTACTGATTCTCCCTTGAATTGGAACATAGCTTCTTTGGCTTATTCAGAGGCAAAATCTAGATCATGAGTAAATAGGTCTAGCAGAAAAACAGCGGACATGGAGCCTTCCTAAAATGGAGTCCCTTCAGCTTGCCTATCTGAAATAGTCTCATCGAAGCTCTATTGGAGAAAACTGCTTTTCCCCCTGCAAAATTTTTTGCCTCCATTTTAATTCAGCCAAAAGACACAAAAACCTCTCTTCAGGTTTTCAACCTATCCACAGTTCATTTGTATATAGTTTGACCACTGATGTTACTTGATACTTGAAAAGGTTATTTATAGAAATGAGAAAGATTTTCAGTCTATATTAACCTCCGTATGTGATTTGGGGCAAAGAAAAAATCATCACGTTGAATATGGTCCAAAAAAAATTTTTTTAAGATTTTATTTTTAAGTAATATCTACACCCAACAGGGGGTTAGAACTCAGAACCCCAAGCCCAAGAGTTGCATGTTCTTCAAACTGAGCCAGCCAGGAGCCCCAGTCCAAAATGTTTTGGTGATGGAGATACATGAAATAAAGTTCAATTATTTGAGAAAATTATGTCAGTTCCCAATTAATCTAGGAATGTAACTCGCTGACCTAGACTTAATTTATGGGCTTTAATATTCTTAGATTATGGTGATCCATGATGTTGACCCTTTTTTCCCTACTGGCCTTTTATTTAAAAAAAATTTTATTTAAATTCTGATTAGTTAACATATCATGTAATGTTGGTTTCAGGAGCAAAATTTAGTGATTCATCACTTAAATAGAACACTCAGTCATCACAACAAGTGCCCTCCTTGGTACCCATCACCTGTTTCACCCATGCCCCACCCACCTCCCCAGAAAAATGGCCAGTTCTCCAACTGGCCATTTTTCTAAGTCTTTCCAATCTGGGTTCCCTGTGATATAAGGACATTAGGCTACCTTTGGCATTCGGTGACTGTTCATTTGGATCTAGACATCTGGGGAATTTGCTCTTGCATTAGTAGAAGAGGTGGGTGCAGGATGACAAGCTCAGACTAAAGCATTAGGTATAGGTACTTACATGTGCCGTAAAAATAGCGACTGAAATTAGGCAGGCCATCATGATCTTTACTAGGGGGCTTGGATTGCCCATGTGAGGAAATGTGTTACAGATCCCATCTCTTCTACACAGATGAGCTAAGTCTTTAGAGAAAGGTTAGAGAATCTAGATCATGGCATTTTTTTCTCATGCTGACATTCTGGGAGAGAATTTTGAGTAATTTTAGACCATCTGTATTTGCTTTTAGGGTTTCAGGATTTTGCAGTTCCAGGCTGTTAATTGACATTACCGACATAATGGAGCTCTGACTCACATTATCCTCTCCCTTAGATCTTCTCATCTTTGCACTTCAGTAACCACCTCTTTGACAATGGTTCCACAGTGTGTGTCCAGCCTAGACCCCTGAGACCCAACCCCATTTATATAACTGCCACTTTGCCATGGTGTGACTTTGTGGTTTATAATAAATACACATTTGGTCTTTGTCCCTGTTCCTGGCACAGGGCTCTTAAACCCTTGGAACTTCCTAAGGGAAGAGCTCACCAAAGATGCCCTCTGTTACGTTAATAAGGTGACTTTGGGATCACACCTAAGGATGGGGGGTGGTTGCTGGTGGACCCAGCCAGGTAATTAGAGGGTTGGAACTTTCAGCCCCTCCCCACCCCACCTCTAGGGGCTGGAAATTGAGTTAAATCACCAGTGGCCAGTGATTTAATCAACCGTGCTTATATAATGAAGATTTCATAAGAACCCAGAAGGAAGGGGTTTGGAGAGCTTCTGAGTTGGGAACCCATGGAAATTTGGGGAGAGTGGCATGCTCAGAGATCTTGGAGGCTCTGTGCCCCTTTCCCAAAGGTATCCTTGTCCTATGCATCTCTTCCAGCTGGCTGTTTCTGAGTTATATCTTTTTATAACAAACCAGTGATCCAGTAAGTAAAATGTTTCTCTGAGTTCTGTGAGCTGCTTTAGCAAATTCATCTATCCCAAGGAGGGGGGTCATGGGAATCTGATTGATAGCCAGTGGCTCAGAACCACAGGTGACTACCTGGACTTGTGATTGACCTCTGAAATGGGGAGAAGGCAGTCTTGTAGGACTGGGCCCTTTGTTAAATAACAAAATTCAACCAAGTACATTTGAAGATCTCATTGGCTTTGTTGAATGATTCATGAATCGGGCAGCATCCCATCCAGCAAGTAGAGGGGAGTTCTGAGGAGGAGTTGTACAGAATGGGAAAGTTTTTATGGAAGGAGCATAAGGCAAGGAAATTATTAGCACAAGAAAAGGAAGATTCTAGGTGAGGCTGCTTTCTAGGGGGAAATAGCAAGGGCTCCTACCCCACAGATGACTTCTTTCTCTGCGGGCATGGAAAGGAACTGAGTGTGGACTCGGTGCGGATTGAAAAAAATTCCTGACTGACATGTTAAGACAACATTTCTGGGGGAGGTAAAAAATGCAATTAGATTATGTATTAAGCACTGGTTTGGGAACTTGGGTTTAAGTGACACCATTTTGGGCCTCTGGGTTTTTTTGTTTTGTTTTTTTTAGTCTTTGTTGTTGTTTTGTTCTTAATACCTTGAACTGTAGAATCTGATGCTTTGTCTGGGTAGGTAGTGTCAGAATTGAGTTAAATTGGAGACACCCAGCTATTTATCCAGAGAATCACTTGGATGTGTGAAGAACCCCGCCCCCCACAATGGAATCGGGTGTAGACCCTTACAGGGACATGTGTATGGCCCAGTGGTACCTCATAAATAAAGTGCAATTTCCCAGGACTTTCAACCCTTTCTCTGCCAACTCGGCAATTCTTATCAAAAGACAAGCTATTAAAAATCTTTCATTTAGCTCTCTTGAGCTTCTTCCTGGGTGGCCGCACGGGAGGGAGGCCGCGCGGCCTGGTGGCGACATGATCTTCGGGAAGATCATTCACAAGGAAATCCCATCCCAAATCATTTTTGAGGATGACCAGTGTCTTGCTTTCCATGACATTTCCCCTCAAGCACCAACTCATTTTCTGGTGATATCCAAGAAACCTATATCTCAGATTTCTGTAGCAGAAGAAGATGATGAAAGTCTTCTTGGACATTTAATGATTGTTGGCAAGAAATGTGCTGCTCATCTGGGCCTGAAGAAGGGTTATTGAATGGTGGTGAATGAGAGTTCAGATGGGGGACAGTCTGTCTGTCATGTTCATCTCCATATTCTTGGAGGTCGGCAGATGAATTGACCTCCTGGTTAAGCATGTTTTAAGGATAATTTTCCCTTCTCTACGCAATGGTCAATATTTCCCAGTTCCAGTATGTTAAACAGTATACTTACTTTTGCCTGTGTATGGAGAGATTGAGGAAATAATTTTTAAAACCCATACATAATAAAAGACAATGTTGCATGGTTTACAGTAAAAAAAAAAAATCTTTTATTTATTATTATTATTATTTTTAAAGATTTTATTTATTTATTCAACAGAGAGAGACACAGCGAGAGAGGGAACACAAGCAGGGGGAGTGGGAGAGGGAGAAGCAGGCCTCCTGCTGAGCAGGGAGCCCGATGCGGGGCTCGATCCCAGGACCCTGGGATCATGATCTGAGCCGAAGGCAGACGCTTAACGGCTGAGCCACCCAGGCGCCCCTATTTATTATTATTTTTAAGTAATGTGGCACCCAATGCAGGGTCCAGCATGGGACTTGACCTCACAACCCTGAGATCAAGACCTGACCTGAGATCAAGAGTTGGATGTTTGGCTGACTGAGCCACCCAGGTGCCCCTATTACAAATCTTACACGATAGAATAGTGCAGGGGCGCCTGGGTGGCTCCTTTGGTTAAGCGTCTGCCTTCGGCTCTGGTCATGGTCCTGGGTCCTGGGATTGAGCCCCACGTCAGGCTCTCTGCTCAGCGGTGAGCTTGCTTCTCTCTCTCCCTCTACCGTTCCCTCTGCTTATGTTCTCTCTCTCTCTCTGTCAAGTGAATGAATAAAATCTTAAAAAAAAAAAAATAGTGCATCAGAGAGAGAATCTAGAAGATCCATTTGGTGTCTTCAATCACTCATCAAAGTGCACTAGAAAATTTTGTCAGCAAATCTCTATACCACTTCTGGAAGGCTTCTGGTAAATTCTCCCCACCTCCCTAACTCAGTGCCACTTAAATCCTGGCTCAGTTGCTCTCCTGGATTTTTGCCAACAATGTTTTCATTTGGCACGCTTTTTGGATCCACCGCCTGGGGATCCTGGTGCCGTGTAAGGAGCTCTGCCTGGAGCGAGGGAGGCTTGAGTTCAAACAGCAGACCTGCTCCTCCAAGGGGGTGACCTTGGCACAGTTTCATGACCTCTCAAAGCCAGTTTCCTCATCCAAAAATGGGTAGGGTTTTGAAGTAATGTATGCCTAGTGTATAAGTACTCAGTGAGTGTTACCTTCACAAAGCCCCAGTTTCTCTAGAAGATTCTCTACAGTTCTGTCACCAGTGGAATTTATATCTCAGCTCTATTCAGTAACACGAGCATTCCTTTGATCTTGGTAGGTTGGGGAAATAAGATTTTTTTCTTCCTTCTGTTTTGCTTCTTGTCTGGTGGTTAAGTGTCATGTTAACACAGAATATGTTTGAAGGAAAAGGAGATTTTTTTTTTCCTGGTATTTGAACCATTTTATTTTTCGAGCTAGACCAGTCTATGGGATGAGGTGGTGGAAAGTTGCTCTTAGATTGCTGTGTTGCTTCTTCGAGCAGTGACCTTGGAAGGACATCTTGAGATGAGTTCCCTCCGTAGTTTGCTTGGCATGGTGTTTGGCATATAGTAGGTCCTCCGCCAAGTCCGGACCCAGTCACATCACCACGTCCACGTTAACGTCGGCATGGCGGTCTTGACTTGTAGACTGGCAGTCCCCTGGAAGTATCAGACATGGACTCCAGATCAGGTTTGCTTGCTTGCCCTCCTACCCGCTAACCCCCTCTGCTGTCAGTGAGTAAAAGACTTGAATAGACATGTTATGAGAGAGGAAATCTAAAAGACCAATACATGTTCAAGGATAGGGAGAAACAGCATCACATTGAGATATCACAGATCAGGTTGACTAAAAATTTGAAGTCTGATAATAGGGGCACCTGGGTGGCTCAGTCAGTTAAGCGTCTGCCTTTGGCTTGGGTCATGATCCCAGGGTCCTGGGATCGAGCCCCGCATCGGGCTCCCTGCTCAGGAGGGAGTCTGCTTCTCCCTTTCCCTCTTCCCCTGCTTTTGCCCTCTCTCTCTCAGTCAAATAAATAAATGAAATCTTTAAAAAACATAAAGTCTGATAATAAAAAAGTATTTGCAAGGCTATGGATCAGTAGGAGCTTGTACATTGCTAGTGGGAGGGTAAATTGGTACAACTGTTTTTGGATAATAATTTGAAGATTTGCCTACCCAACAACCTAGCAGTTCTCCTCATAGGTATATGTCCTAGAGATTTCGTGCTCGTGTCCATCTGGATACATGTACTAGAAAGCTCATTGTGAGGCTCCTGGGTGGCTCAGTCAATTAAACGTCCAACTCTTGGTTTCTGCTCAGGTCATGATCTTCATGTCCTGGGATTGATCCCTGCATCGGGCTCTGAGCTCAGTGTGGAGTCTGCTTGCAATCCTCTCTCTCCTCTCCATTTCCCCCTCCTCCACATGCACACCCTCTCTCTCTATCTCATATAAATAAATCTTAAAAAAAAAACAAACCATCATCCAACCTGGAAATAACCCAGATGTTCATCAGGAATAGAATAAAGTACATAACAAAACATTTGTACAATGGAATACTGCAGAGAGCCGTGAAAATTAACTTCAGCTACATACAACAAAGTAAATGAATCTTACAGTGTTGTGCAAAAGAAATAGTTCTCTATGCCTGTATGACATTTATATCAAGTGTGGAACCAGATTCAACCTGAAGTTATTAGAACATAACCCCATGAGGGGAAGGATCTTTATTACTATTAATTTCAAGTGCTTAGAACTGAGACTAGCACATATTAGATGCTCAGTGAAGATTGAATAACCTTAACCGTGTTGTTTAGGGATATATACGTGGGTGCCGAAATATAAAGAGAAACCATTACCCTAAAAGTCAGGATAGGGTTACCTGTAGGGATGAGGGAAGAAGTTAGGAGTGGTAAGGAATGGCCAGGGAGGTGTCTTCCGAAGTGCTGGTAATTTCTTGACCTGGGTGGTGATTTTAGGAGCGTTCACTTTAATTTACTCCTTAAACTATACATTTGTTTTATGTGTGTTCTTATATGTAATATAAGAACATATTCTTATATGTAATATTTCACAGTGAAAGAACTAATGCAACAGTCTTCTAGTTTATTTGGTTTCATTTTTATATCCTTGTTTTGGAGCATAGGCAAGAGAAAGGTACAAGTGGGGACTTCAGGAAGATCACACGGCAGCCGTTCTCGCTGGGTCTGTAGTGAATATGGTGGACCCTTTATTAGACACTAGTGACCACAGAGGTTTTCATTTGTTTGCACCAGGGCATCTTGGGGGTGGCTTGGGTACCACAGACCTGGGTTCAATTCCTTCTTCTTTTTTTTAAATTTTTTTAATTTTTTAAGGTTTTATTTATTTGAGACAGAGAGAGAGAGAGAGAGCACAAGCAGGGGGAGGGGCAGAGGGAGAAGCAGCCTCCCTGCTGAGCAAGGAGCCTGATGCAGGACTCCATGCCAGGGCCCTGGGATCACGACCTGAGCCGAAGGCAGATGCTCAACCCACTGAGCCACCCAGGTGCCCTCAATTCGATTCCTTCTTTACCACCTACTGGATGTGTAATCCAGGTGATCTAGAAGTAGACCATTTCTTCCGCAGTGAAATGCATATGACCAGAGCCAACGAATAGGGTTGGAGAGATTAAGTGAGGACTGAACAAGATCAGCCATGTATAATGAATGTTCACAGCCAGGGCCTCAGTTAGCCCATGGGGTGCTTTTGTGTGAGTCAGAAAAGGCATCTTTCTCACAGACACTGCCTCGGGAGGTACCCAGCCTGGTGAGCAAATGGCTGTATGTGTGGATTTAGGAAGAGGCATGCAGGGGAGTGGGGATGGCTGAAACAGGGGAAGGGGATTAGAAGGTACAAACTTTTAGTTATAAAATAAATAAGACATGGGGATGCATTGGACAGCATAGGGGATATAGTTAATAATACTGTAACAACTTTATGTGGTGATGGTTGGTAATTACTGAGGTGATCACTTGGTAGTGTATAGACATGTTGAATCCCTATGCCGTATGCCCCAAAACTAGCATCACGTTGTGTGTCACCTACGCTTCAGTGGCTGAGTTCTGGCCCCACCCCCTTGCCCTGAATACTGCTCTTCCAGCAATAAATTGCAGAACTCTGCAACCACCTTGTGCTCGGCGTATAGCAAGTGTTTCCTGTAACTGCCCCGATACAGACCCAAATTCCTGTCCACTGAAAAGACAAGCTAGGCATCTGCTGAGCATCCTTGGTGGAAATAGAGCTCAGTTTTTTGTGTTTGAGTTTTTATTATTTTACTATTTATTTATTTATATTTTTTTTAGAAAAGATTTTATTATTTACTTGAGAGAGAGCACAGACAAGCAGGGGCAGGAGGGGCAGAGGGAGAGGGACAAGGAGACTCCCCGCTGAGCAGGGAGCCCGATGCGGGGCTTGATCCCAGGACCCCGAGATCATGACCTGAGCCTAAGGCAGACGCTTAACCGACTGAGCCACCCAGGCGCCCCCGGAGTTTTTTTAAACCACTCACAGGAATCATCGTTGGTTGACCCTATTATGGTGGTATTTTAAAAAAATTATTTATTTAAAATTTTTTTTAAATCTCTAAACCCAACGTGGGGCTCGAACTTAAAACCCCGAGATCAAGAGTCACATGCTCTATTGACTGAGCCAGCCTGGCCACCCCTATTGTGTTTTATAATACAGTTTTACTGGAAAGAATGATGACTGGGAAACCTTCAGATCCCTGGCTCTGGTCTCGGAGCTGGACCCGGAAGACGTGAATAGTAAATCTGTTTTTCAGTTTCCTCCTCTTTTTTTTTTTTTTTAAAGATTGATTAATTGATTTGGAGAGTGTGCAGAGGGGTAGGGGCAGAGGCAGAGGGAGAGGGAATCTCAAGCAGACTCCCTGCTGAGAGCAGAGCCCACGTGGGGCTCCATCTCATGACCCCAAGATCATGACCTGAGCTGAAACCAAGAGTTGGATGCTTAACAGAGCCACCCAGGCGCCCCACAGTTTCCTCATCTTTTGAAATGGGAGTTGAACTGGAACTATGTGCATGTACCTTGCTGGGTGGGAGCAGGGGTGCTTCTGTTAGCTGGATGGCCCCCCACTTCACCCCACGAAAGACATTACCTTCTAACTTTTTTCTAAAATACAAAATTCTGGGAGCACCTC